AAAGACTTGTCCATCAAGGCGCATTATCGGGTGAACTATTCTCAAATCTAACATTGTTCAGTCTAAAATTTCACTGCTTTATAATTTAAGGTAAGGTAATCAAATTGGAGTATCTTATACTGGACAACACTGCAAATTGAAATGTTGTCAATACTGGTGATTTATACCATTTTCTAATGTTAGTTTTAAACATTAAATTTACGATATCAATTAATAATATAAAAATATGTATACTATATACAATAATATCTGTTGCTGTCCGTTGTGGTACTTTAAAAATGATGTGCAAAAATGTAAAGTGTCATCTATAATTTCAGTATATGAGGCATTCACAGCGCTAGATTAAATAAGTTTTTGTTAGAAGAATCGCCTTGCTAACCTAAGTCAACCACTGTCAATTTTATGAACTACCTAAGTCTAATATTACGAATCAAATATATATTATATGACTAATACCATTGAGTTAGTGTATGTACTTAGGAAACAACGTGTCTTTAGTGGATTGAAGTGCATATATACATATATAATGTAGTAAACTTGCGATAGATTTTGAAGATAATAATTTATAAACCACGCCCCAAACAAAATCAACCACGTGATCACGGCGAGATCGCTGACACGTTCATTCCAGTAACATTATTATTGTCTCAATGGTTTCTATAAAGTAGTTTTTCTTGTCCGTCATTAAGCATTTGTACTACTGATGTCATAACTTCAGTGTATAGAATTCCTGCGGGCAGGAAAATAAGGCTTGATAATGTACTAAAAGTTTTCAATAATCTCCACCGTTTGCCTGCGCGCGTCGCGGGTAGAATACTCCTATCCAACTCCTCGTGGCAGCTTGTTCCTAAGCAAATATCGAAGCAATTTTACGTTAAGGCACCGTATACTATTTCTTTTCATGTTCAAGATAGCTTTAATCGAATGTTGGCACTTAATCGACTGCAGCACGGCAAACGACAAAAATAACTGACAGCAATAACAACCAATACGGGTTAAAAAGTCAACTGTATACATGAATAGCTCTTACGATGCAGCGATGTGGCAAATTTATTTTTGGTGTGTAAATTCTTCTTACGATCTAAACACTTGTTTATTAAGTTCTAATTTTGTTATCACGATGATGAAATGTCTATCACAAACAACCGGCAGCCTGTGCCGGTATAGCGGAGACGATGGTTCCAAATAGCAGAACAATGGCCATTTATAAATCAGAGACATCACAGTTAAAACAATAAATCTCAATCATATAAAAAATAAAAATAAAATGTTCTTTCCTTCAAAAATAAAAAATAAATCATTAATATAAATCATAATCGAATTTAAATTGACGGTTAATTCATAATGTAAAAAAAAAAATATTGTTAGGTTCTGTTCTGTTTTCAAAACATTCTAAATAAAAAAATAAACAAATTCAACGATCATATTGTACTCGTATCAAATGTCGAAAAGTAAAAAACAACACAAATTGAATTGAATGTCGCTGAATTAGAGTAGGCGCACACCGTTGATTTTTAGTTGGCCGATAGTTGTGCCCGATTTTAATTTGTATGAAGGATCGGCCAAATCGGATCGGCGTAGTGTGCGCACTCCCATACATGCCCATGCTGATCAACTGCCCGACTAAACTATCGGCCGACGAAAAATCAACGGTGTGCGCCTACTCTTAGAGTGCGTTTTAAAATGGCCATTGCGCTAGTTACCCGCCCGCCGGCCGCCTACACCCAGACGGGGTACTTCTGGAAGTGCGGCGACAGCTGGGACCAGTGTTAGGGGCGGTGGAGCAGCGGCGTGTCCTCGCCGCTGGTCCAGCGGCTGTCGTCGCGGCGCCGCTCGCTGCAGTTGTTCGTACAGCACGCCGAGACGTTCTGGCTGGCCTGGAAACAACAAATTCACACTCACTCTTTTTCTTCTTTTTTGATGTTGGCAATACACGTCGAGGCCAAATGAGGGGCTATCGTTTTAGCGCCCACCAGTTAGCGCCACTGTAGAGTAAGGTTCTGTCACTTACTAGTAGCGAAGACAGTGGCACCAACTGGTGAGCGCTAAAGTGGTAGGAGGACTATCGCATTTGCACTCATCAAGATGGCGCCACTGTAGAGTAAGGTCCTGTCAATCGCCAGGGGTGCCAACTGTTAAGTATAAAAACAATAGCCCTCATTGATTTGTGCCATTTTCAAGTGAGACGAGTTACAAAATGGGACCAAGTGGGATGGAAGGATGATAGACGATACTCCATTCACTCTTTGAGTCTCAGTAAAGTTGTGGTGCTTTACTGGGACTTTATATGGACTACTTCAGAGAACCCGAATAATCACGCTGCACTGTTTTGTTTTATTTGCCCACACTCATGCACGGTTCACGAACACTTAATGGTTAATAATCCACCATTATTACACATGAATAGTCGTCCAAACACGAATTTTAGAAAATAATACAAAACCGCTAATATGACGCTTCACATTCCCGCCAAGAAGTCCAACTCAAATACTCATGACACCACAGTCAAGGGAGTTTCCTGTCACAATCAATCAAATCACAGGGATGTTTCCTGGGTAAAAAGCAAGTTTGAATTAGACCGTCGGTTAAGTTATCAAAAAATACTCGACGCGTATTTTGCACTTTTCAAACTAATCAAAATTGAAAGAGATAACGTGCGCCAAAGTTCAAAAGAAGAGGCTCGTGACGTCAAGGCGTGCTTAAAAGTGTAGCACTTTGTGACGACACGCGGGATTTCAACGCATCATAACTTAGTAATTACTTGTTTGATTGATAAATAAAAATATGCGTGTACAATATTTTTTAATAACGTAATTGACGGACTAAAAGTTTTTTTTTTTTTAGGAAACTAGCCTATTGACACACTTTTTATAACCTGTCAGAAGAATTCTTTAAATAGGGTTACTTGTAAAGCACCACGAACCTTGTAGGACTAGACTAACATAATAATAACCAACAACATTTAATTTTATTCTGACTTTTAACATAAATCAAGTGAGTGACTGAGTTTCTCGCGCTGCTTCTTCTCAGCACGTTTCTTGCAATGCATCTCCTTGGCTTATTGTACCGAAGACATATTAGCGACAGAATAAACTGTAAAACATCTTTGTATTTCATAACTATTAGATTAAGTACAGTCAGTACAGTCTTGTGTTACATACGCAGCAAATGTTACACGCGGTCTTGTGTTACATACGCAGCAAATGTTACACGCGGCCTTGTGTTACATACGCAGNGCTCATATTCTATAATTTTTTTTAAAAAAATCTCAAAAAAAAATTGACCTCTTTTTTGTCGATAAAAATATGTCTAGTTTCATCTATTTTCATATGTACACTTTAACGTGACTCACACTGTATAAACTTCAACAACACAACAAGAACAAAAACAATCACTGAGCCACTGCGCCAGTAGACTCCCGCTCAGCATTTCTCAGTCTTCCGCGGACGCATCGCGCATTCTTTCGAGGAGATACCGACTCGAGTTCGATATTCCTTAAAATAATGCGCAGGGAAATACCGTGATACCTATCTTACGTTAAGCATTTTTACAAATACAGAACACGGGCAAGTGATAATCAATTATCGCTCATAATAATCTTCTTCTTCTTCTTCTTTTCAGCCAAATGACGTCCACTGCTGGACAAAGGCCTCCCCCAAGGTTGTCCACAATGAACGGTCCTGCGCTGCCCGCATCCAGGCTCTTCCCGCGACCTTTACCAGATCGTCGGTCCACCTAGTAGGAGGCCTGCCCACGCTACGTCTTCCAGCCCGTGGTCGCCACTCGAGAACTTTCCTGCCCCAACGGCCATCGTCTCTACGAGCTATGTGCCCCGCCCACTGCCACTTGATTTTAGCAATTCTGCGAGCTATGTCGGTTACTTTGGTTCTCCTGCGGATCTCCTCATTTCTGATTCGATCACGCAGGGAAACTCCGAGCATAGCCCGCTCCATCGCCCTTTGGGTGACCTTGAGCCTTCTTATGAGGCCAATAGTAATCATCATCAGGTTATTGGGCGTCTTCACACGGGCGATTTGCGCGCTGCTAACTCGTGGGGTATACTCCGCGATATTACTGCAAAGCAAACTGCTGTGCGAGTTCTCCCCGCTGAAAAATCGCTCGTGAGAAGGCGCCTATTCCTATTCATCGTCTTTATTGGCATAAGCTTGCTAAATGATCGCGCGACGAAATCACGTGACCATTTATCAATCACAATGGCGTCTAATCCTGTATAAATACCTAGAGAGAAGTTTATCATTCCCCGCAATTTCTGTGATATGAGAATCTATATGAACTCCATTGAAACCCAGCCAGTAGGGATCTTATTAGTGTTGATAATACAAGGAACAGGAATAAAAGGAATTATTATCCTTTAATTTACACACGTCAGTTAATAACATAGTTCTTGGACACAAAATTCGGTGCAAAAACTGTATGAATGCGTCGTAAAAACATCATTAAACATTTAGGACATCATTTCCTGATTTATTCTAATCTCGGCCACACACATTCCTAAGATAAATAAACCAAAAGTGAGTGACTAAATGCGACGGGAGTTATTTTATTATCATCACTGATTGTAACCTGACCTTTGACCAATAACACTAATAAGATGTGGTGGACGACGACTAAACTACTATAATTTATTGCTGTCACGAGCGAGGCAACGATTGTAAAGGGGAAAGTGATGTGTGTGACTCAACGTTTGTAATCATTTATACGACATATACAGAATTATAAAATCGAATTTGTTTTCCTACAGGTTCCAGCGTTCATATACACGGAAAAACGTTTAAATATCATTATCGACTTGATTATTGCATAAACATATAGGCAACTTTTCCTCATACTACATAAGGGTGCACGTAAGCTGTGCGACGAAGCAGTTTAGGCATTCGTCATAAAGAGTTCATCGACTCGGGTTAAGTTCATAAACTAGGCACTGAATGAAATTGCCTCAAGCCAACGAACTGTGACCCTATGTCTATGGCATTCGTATCTGATTGGCTACTTGAATATTCTGTTGTCCTCTGCATCTTAGCATACGCGCACCCTAAACCTCCGAGGGCAAAACGTTGGTGATGAATAAGCGCGTGGTTATTCTCAACCACAAGTACGAGCATGGAATACGTAATGCCATTCACAATAACAAACACACCTGAGTCATGAACTTACTTGAGTGCATCGGGCGGCATCTTGCAGTATGAGAAGTCTAAGTCGGTGAGGGCCAGACAGGCTGTGAAGAACTGTCTGAAGGAAGGCGGGGGGTCCTTAGGTCTCCTGGCGGAGGACCAGGGGTTCCGTCCCACGAGGAGCGAGGACAGCCGCGCCGCGCACCCTCGGAGCAAGGCACCCCACATCTGAACGTCATGTTGGTGATTGTTATTACGCTTAGTAATCACAGTCTGGTGAATGATGAAAAAATGGTTTCAGGTGAAGGTTTAAGGAGCTTTAATTTGGGCATGTATTAGTGCGAATGAATATGAGATGACTTAGAGCGATAGCTTTTTGTTATTAATATTGCACTACATAAGTATTTTACTGATTCGAGTGATGTTTGGTTGAAAGGAGAGCAGCAGTTTTTATTTTCTAATAATATTCGATAAATCCAGTTTAAGTAGTCTGCTCTAAGATTTAAAAAAAATTCGCTGCAACTGGTGTATAACTAAAAATTCCGTGCGACATAGAAAACCGCTAACCATAACGTCATAACTCCAATACACGCAAGTTCACATTTAGTAGATAAAACTTGGGTGCTTTGCGCACGCGCACAAGTGCATGGGTATTATTAGATAAATTCTTATCAATGCCCGAAACAATGTGCAACTTAAACTAACAGAATGAGATAATTAGGTCATATAAAATTTTTACTTACATTTTCTAACGTTGTTTCTGTGTTAGTCAAGTTTAAATGCGTCAATACGTTGGGTTGTGCGAGGAAGTTGTATAAATTCTGAAACAGAAACGATTCAGATTAAATTATGGTCATTAGATCAGAATATTAAAAGTTGTTACTATGTAATTACTTGTTGGAATAGGCAAGGTTAATTTAATTTAAAAGAAAATCTGGAGGCTGTTTACAACCATTAGATAACTTATCTGATTCTATCGAAATCATTATCATACGTATTTCTCTCTATTATAGTACGACAGCTGATTTAGTGCAAAAATTTGAATCGCCTGCCTATACAAATACAATACATGCGTAATCAATCACATGATCATGGGAAAACCCTGCCTATTCTCATACATTGACGACACATTGTTGGTTAAAAGCGACTTACATGGACATCGTCCTTCAGGTTATTGTGCGACAGATCCAGGTGGGATAGCGTGGAGAGATGGCACGGGTTATCGTTCAGCATCGTCGCGAGGTAGGTAACAGTCTTGCCTGTCAGGCCGCATTGCGACAGCGCGATGTACTTGAGACCATCCGGGTTGCTCGCCAGCCCGGTCAGAACGCTGATCGCACCTGCCGAAGACATCAATGAACAATCGCTGTGCGACAGGAAATCATTCTTAAATTGCCTCACGAAAACAAGCGTTGTAAACAACAACAATTTTGAAAGCAGTCGCTTTGTAAACTATTGGTCTCGATACAATGCAATGCACGTCATCGGTCACCGCAATTGATATTGGGTTGGTCATACCTACATTATTAAATTGATTAGCTTGAATTTAATATGTACAGTATTCAGTTAAATAATAAATAACTGGATGATGATCTTAGATTAAGGTATAATCCGCTAGACTTCTTTTTGTGTGTTTAACTGTTTACGTTAGGTGTAGATATTATAATACTATTTGTATTTAAAATAGGTCACGGTCATTGATTTTATTGAATAAAAGTAGGATAAGGCTGTCGGCTCACTAACAATGCGCATCCGTTGACGTAACTGAACGGCCAGTGTGTCCTTATTTAGACGACATTCGCCGATTTTAAATTGACTGCAAATCTCAAGCTCCAATTGTATTTATGTGCATATTTTTGTATTTATTTATTCTAGTAATATTTGTAAAATATAGTCATAGCATTAACGACAGAAATATACAAATAGAACTATAGAAACCATTTAGATTTTATATAACTGCATATCCTTGTTACAAAAATAATCACGTTTCGACAATGGCACGTAACCAGTCATGTAAGCGTGAACAGGCGTCGGTGATATAAGCATAGAAATCACAACACAAAATATCTGGTGTGGAATTCCAAATAAGTGAAATTAATTGCCAGACACTGTTAATTTATTATCATCTTTGCATTCATAACGCAATGATTTTTTTATATCCGCAATAAACGTAATTTTTTGGAAACATTTCATTGTGTAGGTATACACATAATTGTAATGCTACGACTGTTAAGCAATGTAGTTTTAGGTCTTGCTTAATGTGTCTCTCATAATATTGTGCAGAATTTGTGCAACATTTGAGTCTTAGGCATAATGAGTCTCTTATGTAGTGTACAGAATTTCTGCAACTTGGAAACAAAAACAACTATTAGGCCAAAAATAAAACACTTAAAATGTTTGTGTCCTTCGTTGACCAACCAAACACATCAACAGTAATCATGTAAAATTTTCATTAATCATACAGTGTCCACTTTTCTACTACCTACGTAATTATGACACAAGTAACTAATTGATACACACAATGTAATAAGAACAGTTAATCGAATATCTGCTTTTATTAATAGACAAGAAGAAAACAATACAACTTTTAATGAAAGGTCAATCAACGGCTAGGGTTAGTCACTGCCCCCGTTAGTCACCGCTCCTAAAGCTATTTTAACCTACGCAAAAGATCATACCAGATAACGGGCCCTTTCATTTTTTCCTGTTAGTCGAATCACTTAAGAGCCGCGCGCGATCACTGTAATTTTCAATGCAGCAGTTTGCCAATCAGTGCACAAGGGCAGAGGAAATGGGAGACACAAACTATCGTAATGGATTTCGCAATTAGGCCCGTGTCCATCATACTCAACAAGACGAGCTCTAGTTCACTCAATTGTTTTCAGTTTTATTTTGCAGGCTTAATCAACGTGATTATCCGTCGAGAGATGATTCACGTCAAACGTCTTGGTGTCTCGTTAAGTCTAACCAACTTGAAAAATATTATGTTTTACTTATTGGACAGGAATGTTGATAAATATGTGAGTAATTTTGCGAGATCTTCAAGATCGTCTTGCAGTGTGGTCTGACTGATCAAACAAATCCAAGATGGACACGGCTTCTGCTAACGGTTCTGCGAAAAGTATGAGTAGTAGAGGTCTGACAGTCGCAGCGTATTCTACACAAATAATGTTTACACTTTACAGAAACGCATAGGTTTCACAGCATACCCTTATCCTTAATGTGTTTCTTCGAGAAGACGAAATGAAAGTAATAAAAAAAGCTTGTAACAAGCAGGTTTATACTTATCCTCAATGTTGTTCCACGAGAAGACCATCGTACGCGGTCATTTCAAAGCGTGGTCTACTCAACTCAATGTCTAGACGAACGCGTAGATTCTAGATTATCCTTATCTTAATCTTAGTCTTGCGAGAAGACAATCGTAAAGCTATATGTGAACGTCTCTCAGCGTGGTCTACTCGACTCTAACATTGCCTAGATTTCAGCATTCCTTTTTCCGTGGGCCTGCGAGAAGTCGAAAGTAATACGCGGACGTCTTGCAGTGATCTACTCAAAAAACCCTAGCTAGACGAACACGTAGATTGTAACTACGCCCTTGTCCTCAATGTGGTTCTGCGAAAAACTATCGTAACGTGAACGGCTAGCAGTGTGGTCTACTCAAACAATGCCTAGACGAATACGTACCTAGCTTATCTTCAATGCAGCTCTGCGAGAAGACGATCGTATTATGGTGGTCTATTCAAACAATATGGGAAACAAGGAAGCCCTAGCCCAGTGGTTCTTAACCGGTGGTCCGCGGACCACTGGTGGTCCCTGGAGGCATTCCAAGTGGTCCACGATGTGCACTTGCACACCTTGGTCAAAACCACTTTTAACTGATTTTTGCAGTCAAACTGGTTTTGACCGATTATGAGGTGGTCCGTGACAAGACAGAAATTTGGTAAAATGGTCCCTCATGACTTAAAGGTTAAGGCCTCAGCCTCGAATTTAGCGGGCAGCGGGGCGGCGGCGGCGGCGGCGCGGGAGCGGGGCGGGCAACGCAGACCCGTTCTCGAAACAAGCGGGCAGCTCACGCGGCGCTTTAGCGGCGAAGTGTTGTGTTCGGGGTTGTATTGTCGAGATATTTGTTTTTATTCGCAAACGAAATGTCTGAACAACGGCGACAATTTTATTTCGATTCAAATTGATTCCTAACGCTCGATTTATTGTGGGCAAAAGAAGGAGTGCGCTGCCCGCTCGTTGCCCGCTCCCTCGCCGCTGCCGCGCCGCTGTTTTCGAGAACCGGTCTATTTGATTTTACGCATAACATCCTGCCGCTCCCGCGCCGCCGCCGCCGCCGCCCCGCTACCCGCTAAGTTCGAGGCTGAGGCCTAAGAAACACTGCCCTAGACGAAGGACGAAGTTCGAGCTTACCCTTATCCTCAATATGGTTCTGCGAGAAGTCGATAGTGTGCATTGCCGGAGGGCGCTTGGCACGAGCGAGCGCGTGGCCCAGACGCGCGGCGTGGTCGTGTCGCAGCGCCGCGGCGCGCCAGCTGAGCCGCTGCGGCGGCGGGCACGCGCAGCGCGCCAGGCGGCACACGCTCTCCCACGCCTCGCCCCCCGCGCGGACGCCGTCCCCGCACACGCCCGTGAACCAAGTGTTGTGCTGCAGCGCTATCACCAGCGGGATCAGATCCCTGCGACAAACAAGGTCAGTGGCGGCGTAGCATGGGTTGCAGTAGCGGCGTAAGGGGGGGGCGGTGGGGGCGGTCCGCCCCGGGTGCCAAGCATCAGGGGGTGACAAAAGTCGCGCAGATTAGTACTCACTGGCACATCTGCATGGCAAGGACGGTCGTGATGTCATGACAGGGGGGTGCCATTCTGGGGTGCCTTAGGCTATAATTTATATTATGAGGGGGGGGGGGGGGGGGNTCCTAAGGCACCCCCTGGTACCCCCCAGGATTTTGGGGTTACCTACCGATTCGAAGATTGATAGACAATCCCCCCCGTATCATGACATAGACCGCAGATTTGCCATGCAGATGTGCCAGTGAGTACTAATCTAAAAATCTGCGCGACTTTTGTCACCCCCTGATGCTTGGCACCCGGGGCGGACCGCCCCCACCGCCCTTCCCTTACGCCGCTACTGGACAAGGTCAATCTGGGAACCTCAACAACTTACAGCGACAAGTTTCGAGGACGATAAAGTCAAAGTCAAAGTCAACATTTCTTTATTTGTTTACACTAATAAATAGTTCTTACTAATCGTCATTTTGCTCTTAAGGAGCCTCTACATGTCTCATAATCTTTTTACCCTACCAGCGCTTCGAGACCAACATTTGGCAAGTGCTGAGAAGAAGCGCCGCAACAAACTCAGTCACCACTGTCTGCCGGTTAATATAAATAAAAAGAAAAAGCTGTAGTAGGTAGATATTTACCTTTGATCTAGGTGGTCGAAATCCTTCAAATGCAACATTCTTATATCGTGAGCTAGGTAAATTGTGTCTATATCCCATGCTACTTCAGCCCTAAAAATAAAGATATTTTTATTAGTTCCTCTTCTTTAGCTGTTCAATTTTTAATGGACAAAAATTTGGGTAATTTTACCTAAAAGGCGTTTGGCAAAGATCACACATTGCAGCATATTGATTCGAGAAATCCCCGCAGGTGGAATGTTTTCGTGTTCCAGTTACAGATGGAAGTTGGAAAGGCAAATTGACCTGTACAATGTAATGTTTGTTAGTATGAAATGCAAAGTACCTACACACATTAAAGCGAATTGCTTTCAGACACAAAAAAACGTAATACCATTTAGCACCAATTATAATTTCACCACACCACTCTACACTTGATTAATTAAGCAAATTATTAGTGTCCTTTTTCAAAAGCTAAATTGGATGACTAAGCAGAGTAAATTAAAATAAAAAATTTAGCAAAACTAGCACACTGACCTTGGATATGACATCCTCCATGGATACATTTGGGAATAGGTCATCAAATGCTGCTACTAGGGCATGTATCACATTTAGGACACCATCAGAGGTTCCTTCTTCACCTTAAATAAAATTGTTATTTACGAAAATTATATTCTATGGTGCAAGTGGAAACACTGCAAAATTTTGATTTCGCAATATTAATTAGTTCTTTTGAAGTATGATTTATCAAAGAATAGTAAAAACTAATGTTAAAAATATATATTTTAAGCTTGTTTTCACACTGGTTTGAAGTTTTAACTTCCTACACATTTACCTGATGTTAATTGACTTTATAAACAGTTAATTAACCATCTAACAATGAGTTAATTATAATCTGTTAACAACCTATTACATGACAATAAGATTTGATGTCAAGGCAGTGTTAACGGGAACGATAGTGGCAATTAAGCACTTACCTATGAGAATCGACACTGGTTTGTGTTCATGGATTAATGTTATTGATAGATGATTAGCCTTTTTGCTTTCTAAGGCCTCTATTTCCATCAGGTGAAATCCATTATCGACCTATGAACAATTTTTTATCAGTTAACTAATAAGTATAGTATGAAACCAAATAAATAAAACAGAAATCCATTTATCAATATGATAATGGAAAGCTTGCATGTAACTTACCCGTGTGGGTACTTTTGTTGTTGTAATAAATATTCTGAAAGAAGTAACAACCTGAAAAATAAATAAAAATTACTGACATAATGCGAGTTGCTAAAAAGTTGTTTAGAACATCAGATTATTTAAAGTTAACAGTCTAATTAGGTTTTAATAGGATTATTTTTTACTATTTAAAAATTACACCTGATAATATTGTTGTTATGTTATAATATAAACCAATTTAAATGTTTTACTTATTACATAATAATGTTTTATGCAATAAGGAAATGAAAGAATTTGTGAGGAATTTTTATTTAGGATACAGATTTAACTATTATTATTTATTCAATATTATTGTAAAAGGCTGATACTTAATGTTTATTAGAATGATAAAGATCTTAAAATGCATAATGAGAGCATCAAAACAATTTTTTTTTGAAAGTAGGTAATTTACCAATCTACATTTTAACTGGAAAATATTAAGCCAGTTTTGATCATATTGTTGTTATGTTATAAATTCACTACAATTTGATTGTACAACCTACATTAAAAGTTATCAAGCATTGGACACACCTAGTGACTCATTGGTATTGTCCAGAAGTTAACATTCATAGCAATGGGAATAAATTTAGTTGAACTTGATGGTCTTATTAGTACCATACTGGATACTTAAGTGTTTATAAGCAATAATTATAATAAAATAATAATTATGTAAGTACTTCAGTTAAATGTGACATATCATACATTTTAAAATTTATAAAATAGTACACAACAGGTAAGTAGTCTAATATAATTTATTTCATGAATTAGGAATTAATTTTAAGTTGAAGCTGCACCAAAAAGAAGCACTATCTAAATAAATAGTAGATAACTATATCATACAATGTTAAAGAATACTCACTAAAACTCTGTTATCTACTTTATCACCTCTTGATTCCATGCGGATAAGGGATTTATAGAGTATCTTAACATTTTTTCCCAGTACATTACTGATGCTTTCTGTAAATAAAATAATGAATGGTTTCACCAAAGTGTTACGTTTTATATTTTAGGTGAGCTAGTGATTTTTTAAAATATGTTTAATTAGAGAAAAACAAACCGCTCAGCTCTGTAGATATTTGTGATTTTGTTGACATTTTTGCAATTTTTTTCAGAGTCATAACTTCTGAAATTTGATTATTTTACCACACACATTATATTCACATTCACTATTTTTATGTAGGTATCAATAACAAATATTTTTCCATATGTACACACGAAGAAACAAACTGAGCACTTCTAAGTTATTGAAAATTAAATTATTGACCTAAAATTTCCCGAAATCACCACAACACACCTACACAAATGTCTACAAATGTCAATCAGACAGACAGTCATAGAGCAAAAATGTAATTGAGTGGGCGTGTTCTACGTTTTTTTAATTGCTTGATCTAACCAATCAACAGTCTCATTGTCGCTATGGTGCTTACGGATTGGTCGTATATTTCATAGACAAGACAGTAGGTACTTTGAGCTCTAGCAATACAAGTTTTATCACCCGTATTTGTACATCACTAGTTTCGTATACTCTGTGGTTCGTAGGTCTGGCTTAAAAAGCTTTGACCCTATGCCGTAAATTTTAATTTAAAAAAAAAATCGTATGTCATTTTCACTGCTGTCAATGTCAAATCACAATATTTTTTTGTCTGCTGGTTTGCGTGTGAAAAAATGTTTTTGTGTGTTCTTCTTGTGCAAACTCCAATAAATTAATATTATTTTTATTGCGAATTAATAAGAGAGTTCATATTACTAGGAAAGTATATTAATGTTGATTACCCAAGATGAACAAAAATTACGAAAGATGCACTCATTGTAATCGACGAAAATGGCTCACTTCTGGCTGCCTTCGCAAATGGTTGAAACCATTGGAATGTAAACATTTGCAACGAACCATTGATAACAAGAGAGATTTTAGTAATGCAGATATAGTAAATTGTGTCTTTTTGTCAGAGAGGAAGCCCCCAGTTAACACAAACAAATTTGTTAAATTCTGGAAAAACAAATTGTTTATCACTGGTAGTGTTAGATCTTTGCAGCGTTATTTTGGGACTAAAAGCAATGGTGGCGAATATATATGCAGTTTGGCTAAGCGGAACCATCCCTCAACATCATCAGAGAAATGTTTCATTGCCAGGTCTGATTATGATTTCAAAGATCTATTGGAGCCGAAAAAAGAAATGGTAAAATGTCAGCATTCAGAAGGACATTTAGTTCTCAGAGGTCATCAGCATCACACATCGCTTGAAACATGTTCAATATATTGTCAGTTGTCAAAGTAAGTCTTCATTTTAGTGGACTACACTCGCGAGCAAAAGTATGGAATCACTTACATGAAGTTGTTTCCACGCGATCTTGTGTACTAACGAATGTGTTAGTAACAAAAAAAGTGACACCATTTTAAAGACTAAACTTTTAACTTTAAATTGATACCAAATTCATTTAAATCACACCAGTATTTAAAAAGATATCCCGGCTGAAATGAAGAAGTAAGGAAAAAGACATGTATCAATTGTTTGATACGTCGCGAGTTGCGGCCTATTTACGCCCTATTAAAGCACGTGTTTTCGGATTTTTGCTTTCACACATTAATCCATACACATCTTCGCTTCTTTTGACACTTTACCTGGGATTCTACACCTTCAGAAGCAGCACAAATCGTTGCAATATTGCAAGAAGGGCTCAGCCAGTGGGCTGTCGCACGTCAGCTCCACATAAGCCAGTCCTGGGTTTCGAAAGTTCTAAGACGCTTTCGGGAGACTGGTGGCTTTATCCCGAGACCAAGTTCTGAACAGCGCCGGTGCACATCGCAGAGGGATGACCGTTTTTTCATGTCAATCTCTCTATGAAATCGTCATTTGACTGGTATCGACGTCCAGCAAGAGCTCAGAAATGTTCGTAGGATAGCTGTTAGTAAGTGGACAGTTCGTCTAAGATATAAGCTATAGAATTTGACTCCAAAAAGGCCTGCCACAGGGTCGAAACTGACGGCAGGTCACCGATAAGCACGCTTTCAATTTGCTCTAACACATCTCTATGGGAAGTCGATGCAAGCCACCCCCATAAGTCACTGTTTCAGCGAACCAGCACTGCACAAATCGCTCCCTAGGCCGCCTAGAGACCCGACCTCTTCGACTGCTGCACTGCAAACACAGTCTGCATTCATCGGAGAACAAAACTCGCCTCCATTACTCGCCTTCCCATCAAAATAAGTGCGAGCTAATTGAAAGCGTGCTTATCGGTGACCTGCCGTCAGTTTCGAGCCTGTGGCAGGCCTTTTTGGAGTCAAATTCTATTGCTTATATCTTAGACGAACTGTCCACTTACTAACAGCTATCCTACGAACATGTCTGAGCTCTTGCTGGACGTCGATACCAGTCAAATGACGATTTCATAGAGAGGTTGACATGAAAAAACGGTCATCCCTCTGCGATGTGCACCGGCGCTGTTCAGAACTTGGTTTCGGGATAAAGCCACCAGTCTCCCTAAAGCGTCTTAGAACTTTCGAAACCCAGGACTGGCTGATGTGGAGCTGACGTGCGACAGCCCGCTGGCTGAGCCCTTCTTGCAATAGTGCAACGATTTGTGCTGCTTCTGAAGGTGTAGAATCCCAGGTAAATTGTCAAAAGAAGCGAAGATGTGTATGGATTAACGTGTGAAAGCAAAAATCCGAAAACACGTGCTTTTAAAGGGGTTAAATAGGCCGCAACTCGCGACGTATCAAACAGTTGATACATGTCTTTTTCCTTACTTCTTCATTTCAGCCGGGATATCTTTTTAAATACTGGTGTGATTTAAATGAATTTGGTATCAATTTAAAGTTAAAAGTTTAATCTTTAAAATGGTGTAACTTTTTTTGTTACTTACACATTCGTTAGTACACAAGATTGCGTGGAAACAACTTCATGTAAGTGATTCCATACTTTTGCTCGCGAGTGTATTATAGTGTGTTACATGGTCAAATGATCATAGAATATAAATGTTGTATTATTGACAGGCATGGCTGGTATTGGGGTGGCATAACTTCCAGTGAGGCTGAAGAACTGTTGGCAGGCCAACATGACAATGTATTTCTTGTCAGAGACTCGTATGACTCCAGGCACATTCTGTGTGTCTCATTCCGGTGTGTTGGCCGAACACTGCACGCTCGCCTCAGGCATGCCAATGGTCTATTTTCATTAAATAATGAAACATTCGTGCCAGTTAACAGGATATCAGAACACTGCGCTACAGTGGATGTCAAGTCAAATCTTTTAGAAATGCCTTTTAAATTAGCCAGGCCATTAAACAGGTATGTACATTAGCAAATAGTTTTGTAATGTAAACATTATTGTTACTTATAATTAAATAATGACCTCTTGTTTGACATTATTAAATTTTTTGTTTACTACACAGAAATTGATTGAATTAGTATAATTTAATTACTTGTCATCATCATTATTATCCATTAACATTCTAGAATAGGCTTTTTACATTTTAAAACCTATTTTCAGCAAGCTTGAGTATGGGTGTAGGAATTATGTTTACTTTTTGAATAGCATCATAGAAACAATTTATCACAAATGTTTTTTGTTTTCAGATTTGCAACCCTGGATTCTTTACAAATGATATGCAGATTTGTGATAAGGGTAACAGTTGCACCAAACAATTGGGACAAGTTACCCTTACCACCTAACTTGATTAGCTATGTATCTGGAGGCAGTGACTACATAACACCATCATAGCCACATAAACATGTTACTGTGCCTTCAAAATAACTATTCACACCATATTGTAATCCTATTTACAAATAATGGACTGTATCATTTAATATGAGTAATGTGTAGTGTTTATAAAATTTATACAAAATGAATATTTTAATAAAACTGATAATTTGTACTGTGATGCATGTTTTGTTTTTGTGCTCTAAATAAAATATTTAGATAATAAATTTATTGACTTATAAACGAAATATATGAATAAAACCATTGGCAACTTTCATATCAATTATTTATTCAACAACAAAATAGTGTAGCATCCATTAGAATTCTAAATAAAATACTGTCCTAAAGCCTGTAAATGCTGCTAGGTTACTTCAGTGTGTTTATTCCCAGTATATTCTTAGCCTAAAACAAAAATACATAATGGTTAGTTATGGCACTTCATACAATTTAATATTACCTGCTTATAAGCTTCTAGCTGTTGCTGCAGTGGCTGCAAAAATATGTTTTTCTTGAAATGTTTAATTACAAAAGTTGGTAACTACATAGTACGATCTATTCATTCTTATTTTATGAAGGATTTAGAATTAAGATTGCATGTGAGTATTATAATCGGTTCTATATTGGCTCACATAAAATTCTAAATCCTATTCTTTGTCTTACTACCGATTTGTGTTCATAATAATCTCTCTTCATAATTTTGTTTTTCATACTTTTTTTATTCATACATTTTTATTACTACCATCGGAGCTCATAACAGTTAGTAATCATAATTTTTTTATCAATACTGTTACTACCAAGAACCATTTAAAATACATAATTTTTATTTTCAGATCTTTTTTCTTCATAACATTCATTGATCATATTGTTTTAATTAATAATGTTGTTACTAAGAACATACTTCAACTCATAATGTTGTTGTTCAGAATAATTTACTTTATAACAGACATACTCGTATCTTTAAAAAATCATGTATAATTTAATAGAGTAGATAAGCATGCAGAGCATGCAGCATGAAAGCAAGCATGCAGCATGCATTGGTATCTCCTCGTCTCCGGCGCTGCGGGATGTGCAGCCCTTCCGCCCTTGCGTAACGAGGCTCAGGCACCCACGCTTGCTTCCGCAGCTTCGGCTTTTTGGATCGCCATCGGCGCCTTCGGCGCCTCGGCGACCAGCCTCAGCCGCTCCAGCTCACCCGGGCGCCTGAGCCTCGTTACAGCGGGCGAGGGCTGCCCTCCCTCCGCGCCTCCGGCTTTTAAATTACACTCTAGGGGTAGGGCAGACAAGACTACGTGGAGTCGGTTTTGCAGCGATTCGTTTCTGTCACGTTAGTTTTGTGGCACAAAATATTGCCTGTTTTGGACCATTTCAAATTAATTTAATGTTAAATTACGATTTAATACGAATATAGACATTAGACATCATGATTTTCAATAATATGGATAAATACAGTTATGAGTAATAAATTTATGAAAACAAATATTAGGATACATCACATTTATGAATATTATAGTAATTAATTCGAATGATTATGAGTTTCGATCATTAGTACAGAAAAATATATGAAAACAAATATTAGTAAAAACTAAGTGTATGATTAGTGATATTATGAATATCAATGATTATGTTTTTAAATGTGTAGGTTTTAAATTTTTTATGAAGAATGATCATTATGGTATCAAATTGTATGAGAAATATTTTCGGACCTCCAATGATAGGAATTGAAAAGTTATGTAAGAAAATGCGCTACCATTATAATCATCTAATTTATAACTGATAATTTCTGTATTTTCACGTATTCGTCCTGTTTTACGTACAGTAAGGTCCGCGTCATTGTAAAATTAAATAATTTTGAGATCACTTTTAAAATCTCTCAGTAGAATGAAGCCATGATTTATTGAATCTATTAGCAGCATATAGATATTTAGTTACTGCATAGCGTCTTACCGTTACAAACGCTGCAGTTAACGTTTGGGGAGCAGCTGAGACGGGATTTAAGTTGAGCGCGGTTTGTATCAACTGGGCGTCTCTAATCCGAGATGATACGAAACTCCTCGTCGCGTTGTGGTTCGCGCTTTTGTCTGTTAGATAAAATAATTCGGTAGCCTTATAAATGCCGGCTAGCCCCACTCGTCGGATGTACCAGTTGAACTGAAATAACATAGAAAAGATCTTAAATCAATTGCAAGCTTATATAGGTAGGCTTACGTCAAAGTTTACGTGTAATAATTTACGGCGCGCGCGCACGTGTGACTTTGTGACAGTATGTCTCTCTTTTTCTCTTAAAAAGGTGTAAAAGAAACAGATATTATAATAATAATACTATCACGAATAATACTGCGCCACGGAAATAAAAGTCACCCGTGAGTGCGCGCCTTTACCCGTTCGCGAATCATTCTCTTTATCAAGCTACCGTCATAAAAATAGACATGACTTGGATGGAAAATCCAGTAACTACCTACCTGTTGCAGTTGCTTGACACGTGGTATAGAGTGATAAATAAAATTGATTAGCATACAATGTTATTGTTTTAAATGTAACTTACATCAACACTTCTATCACCAGAATGATAGCAAATATCGTCCACTAAGGACAGCAGTGTAGCAAGACAGTTTGGTACATTGTTTGGGAGTGCTTGAATCGCCATCGCTTTGGGCCATGTACTCCTGTAAATAAATGTTATACGAAATGTTTAGTATATTATTGTTTTATATTTTACTAATAAATATTATTCTTATTACATATGATTAATTATACATCCAAAGCTAAATCAATGTCTTATGTATAATTTATGTATATTTAGATACTTATTCATATTTTACACACTTACTTATATGGTTCTATCATAGAAAGTCTTGTAATAATTGCATTTTCTATGAATTTGGTTGGAACTTTGTGTTCTTTCAAATCTTCTTTAGGCCACTGAAAATGATACGGAATTAATGAGTATAAATAAGTGTAATTTTTCCTGAAATAACTGTATATTTATGTATGATCAATAAGATGACTTACGTTTTTCATTTGTTCCACTAAACTTTCATTGCATTTAACATTGAAATAATGAACTAGATCACCTCCTCCATTGGGGAACAAGCCATGAGTGATACCAGGGTAACCAGCAGCCTCTGCTCCTGCACTCAATGACTCCACAGACCAGCCAGTCTTCGGAACATACTCTAGAGCACACTGCAATATGTGATTCTTTACATTCTCTTCATATTGGTGCTCTTCTTGCTCATTCACTACTGGTGTTGGTAATTTTGACTCATGCTGAGGAGGATTTTTACAATAGTGTCTAATTATTCTTTGGCTTTTGTTGACTGGGACAGTTGTTAGTGGTAAAATATATTTATGGCCATTCCTTATTGCTGTCAACAAATGAAACAGTTTATTAATTAATAAATTAACTTGATGAACATTATAAAATATTATTTTGTGATATTATGTAAGGTGATAAATAAAATTTTAAACATGTAAAGCAAAAATAAATTTATTAATAAAAAGATTAAGCTATTCACAATCCATAGTAAGAGCCTGCATTTTGTTAATATTTATGCATTCAGACAATCTAGCCACTAAACCCTCAATCAGATGAAAAGCATTCAATGCAGAATTTATAATTTCTTTCTTGTTTTCAACAGGTATATTATCCAAGACATTTCCTCCAACATTTACAGATATATTTGTATCATTCCCAAGTCCTTTTCCTTCTTCAATTTCTTTCATCTTCTCCTCATAGTGAGCTTTAGACATGTTCAGCCCAGTTCTTAATTTCTCCAAGTAATCGGATTCTATCATTTGGAAGCAATCTCTTATTCCAGTTTTATTTTCTGAATCTCTTAAAGCCAAGTATCGGAGGAAATTAAGTGATGTAATTATTTGATCAGCCAACTCGACTATGTCTGATTCTGCTCCATGAGGTAGATTACAAATTTTCTTAATCATATTCATAAATTGTGCTCCTGTGAAACATTTGTCTAAGGTAGCATCCTTCAGTGACAAATCTATAGAGTTCTTATACAATGTAATAGCATATCCAATCATGCCTGAATGATTTGCTGTCTCTATCAAATATTTAATGAGCATAATCCTCCCACTGTACACAAACTTATTAATATGAAGACCTATCAATTTTACTGCCTCTTTGCGTAGTGGCTCATACTGTGAATAAATTGCCACATTCATTAAATTCTTGCACAAGTCAAAATGTACTGAACAAGCTAACAAAGTTTGTGTTGCATTATCTGGCAGATGCTTTAAAATTGCATTGCACAGTGCAATCCCTTTGGCAAGTAGCCCATATTCAGTGAAACTCAACAGATGTACCACTGACAACATTACAGTGTGGACTGTGTACTCTGCACTGTAGACTTGAGGAATATTAGCATCAGGAACTTCAAAGTGACCAGAAAATAGGGTGTATGCTAATCCAGCCAAAGTGGTCATGTTTATTTTCTCTCTGTGCTCATATGGGGCAATCTCATCATCATTACTGGCATTTGCTTTTTTAACAGATTTCTGGTTTTCTTTATGACAGATGTTAATGTATTCTATCACTCTGAATATGTTCTTCTCCAGTGTGCATATATCTTGAATGATCATGCTGCAACATTGCCTTGCTTCACTCATTGCATTGTTATCAGGGTCCAGATCGATGTTAATCAATGGTTTTCCAAGAAGACTTACAAGAAATGCATTTATAATTTGTTTTGCTTTCATATTAGAATGAGACTGTTCTAGCTCTTTAATAAAAGGACGGTAGAAAGGTGGGAGCATTGAATAAACCTTAGCAATTCTCCTAATGTTTGTGTCACAGTCCATGAGCAAGCGTTCTTTATCTTCCAAATGGTGTTCAGGGATTGGAATGTTCTCAATATATGTGCTTATTGAGTTCAAACACCATTCCAAAGATCTTCCTCGTTTCACTGATAACTTCTTCAATAATTGCTGAAGTGGAACTAAGATTACACCAAACTGGGCATCATTTTTGGCTACTTCTACTTGTTCAATTAACTCCAGCAGCGCTTCTTCGGGTGTTGAGGCTTCAACTATAAGTGCTAATAGTTGTTCACAGGCACCATGAAGTGATGGCTTCACAATGATAGTATCATCTTGGAGTTTGCCTACTATTACAGAAATTAAGTCCCAACAGTTGTCCTTAAAACTATCTTTATGTTTCTGTTCATTAGGTACACTAAGAG